AAAACAACTAGCCGATATCTTCACTAAGCCTCTCGATGAGTCAAGGTTTTGTGCTTTGCGTAGTGAGCTAAATATACTTGATTCTCGTAACGTGGTTTGAAATATATCACACCTCTGTTTGACTACCTAGTAAAGTAGGAAAATGATTTTAAAAGATATTATATTGTGTTTCAAAATCATTTCAAAAAGGCCAACTAAGTGTCATGACCATTGTCTGTATTGTTGATTGCTTACTAGTCATGATATTTAGAGAATATATATCCATATCTGAGGTGAAGGAGGTCATAAAGTTTCAGCGTAATCCCTGCAAAATTAGCAGGGCGGCAATGCCGCTCTTCTTGGCCGGTAGTGCCGCTCTCTGAAAACTGGGCCGTTTTCAGCCAATTTTGGCTGGGTCGCGGGGCCCATTTTCTTCTACTTATTCCTTCTCTGGCCCCTGACCCAACTCTCTCCTTCTCTCCCAGCCGACATCGATGCCTGTGCTTCTCTTTTCTTCTCTCTTAAGCACGCGCCGCCACCGTTCTTCGTGACCTACCACCCCGGTAGTGCCGCCCCTGCAGCAGGCCGAGACTCTTCTTCGCTGGTCACTGTAGGAGGCTCCTGACCGAGCCGTTTCTTCTCTTCTCCCTCCACTCCAACGGTTTGGAAGCAAGGTGAAACCCTAACCCCTTTTCGATCTATGCAATGTGAAGCCTTTAGTCATGGATTTCAGTTTCTAGGGGGAGTATGAAGGGTTTAGAAATGTTTTTTATGGTTGAATCGAGTTGATTTTGGATTTCACCGGTTGGATGATTTTGGGGAGAGCGGCAATGCCGCCCATGGGACCATTAATGGCACCCCTAGCAGATTCTAACTGCTATACTCAAGTTCATAAATCCGATGAAGTTCAAAATGGATTGGATTCACTTATCAAAGATTGTTTCTAAAATTTTTATACTCAATCTTTCAAATCTAAGGCTAGGGTTTCATGTATTCTTTGCTTAGACTGTGATTCTAAAATTATAATGATGAATAGATATTGTTGGAAATAGGATTTAACCAGAAAGAGAAAATTGAAGATGAAATAGTAAAGCAACTGAGGGCGGCAGTGCCGGCCTCAGGGGGTGGCAGTGCCGCCCTACCATGTTGATTCCAAATCCAGCACAGCTTCCTGTATCATCTTCAAAATTCTTTTTCTTGTTAAAACCTACCTGCAGTAGTGTCTAACTCATTATCTTATATAGTTTCTTATCAAGTCTCATTTAATTGCATAGATGGACCATGGAAAAAGGAAGGTGTTGACAACCAAGCAAAAGGTCAAAAGAGGCAGAGGACAGGCAAGCTATACTCCTAGAGACAGAAATCTTGAGGAAGATCTTGTTGAAGAGGAAAATATTCAGAGAATGGGAAGAACCATTCATGTGTGGCCTAATTCTCCTTTACATCTTTCAGAGTTTGATAGCAGCTACATGAGAGATAATACTGATAGGTTCGACCTCATTCCTCCCCAAAACAGTGATGGTCATAGAGTTGTTGATTATTCCATGAGTTGGAAGAAGACATGTGAAGCTAGAGAAATTGATCCCTACTCCTCTAACAGATTCGATGGCATTGATTATAGATTCTAGAATGCTTTCCAATCTGATTTTTATACTACAGCCATCTATCCAAGTCAAAGGGCAAGATTAGCAAGATGCAGTACATTGACTTTGGTGACTTGGAGAGCAGGAATGATCATCAGTTTGCTACAGCAATCAAGACCTGTGACCGCTTTGAGATGACAGACATCATGAGTTTCAGGTATGATTGGAACAGGGAGATTCTTGCTCAGTTTCATGCCACTTACTTTTGGAACAGGGAAATGGATGAGCTTCATTGGATGACTAATGGGTGACATTATCGTATTGATTTTGTCACCTTTTGTCGTATTCTTGGTTTTGGTCACATCCATAGGGGATATGAAAGGATACATAATGAGTGTCGTCTTGAACCAATGGAAGTAAGCTTCATGTGGGAGGATCAAAATCTGGCAGTTCCTGATTGGTCAAGGACAAAGCTTAAGAGCTTTTATTACATCATGAACAATCTTTTCAGGATCACTCTAAACCTTAAAGACAATGCAATAGACTTGAATGGCTATATTACTAATGTGTTGTCTAGGTTTCCCAGCAATAAAAAGTTCAATGTTCCAAGATTCATTTGGGTTGAGCTAGCTTATGCCATGGATGATGGGAGGAGATCTTTGCCCTATGCTTCTTACCTCATGTTTATGATTGAGAGAGTGACTAGCATGTTGTTCCCTAAGGATTGTGAGCACACTGTTTACAAGATCAAGAAGACCCATGGTGGCTTAGGGGGACTTGGTTCTACTACTCAGCACACTAGTTCTAGAGGACTTGGAGATAGTGGGGCAGCAGGCCTTCACCCTTCTGGAGCCTTACAGAGAGATATTCCTGAGCCGTCCAGGGCTAGGGAACAAAAGAAGAAATCAAAGTGGGGAAAGATGAGTGCATGGATGAAGGCAATCTTTGCTCATTGTGCATATACTTCACAGTCTGTTTATGAGGATAGAATGGAGAACAGGGAAGCTATGAGGCATGCTAGGGAGATGACAGGGCTGCCACCACTTCCACTAGTGCAGTCACCACCTCGGTTTCCTGACTTGCCTCACCTTTCTTCTTCTGATGAGGAGCAGGATCAGTCACATGAGCACCATGATGAGCAGCAGCACGAGCACTCATATGAGCCTTTCAGTTAGTACTATGGATACCCACAGGGGTAGCATTTTGAGGAGCCCCCAATGTAGCAGGACCTTGGTGCAGAGATTCACCCTACAAAGGCCGATCCACAGGTACAGGCAGCTTTGTTTTGCACATACTCTAGGAGACCGCGTCCTTCGACGGATCAGGCAGGGACTTCTACTTCAGCTGGGGTAGCACCTCCGTGACGTTCAGCATGCTTCACTTCGCACACCCATATTGCCGGACATGCTCGCGTCGACTCCGATAGTGATGAGTGATTTCTCTTCTTTTTCTTCTCTTTTTGGTATTTGATGCCAAAGGGGGAGAAAATTAGAGGGGTCAACAAGTTTTTTGATGCCATGTGTTCTTCGCTGCTACGCTTTTTGTTCAGATCCGTTGCGAGTAGTTAGGTTGTGAGTTTGAGAAACGCTCAAAACACTATTTTATGAAATTATGCTACTTTGTGACTTAATTTGCTTCGGATATGGACATGTATTTATGGTTACTATTTTAGCTTATCATATTCTGAGTTTAGATTGTTTTATATACATATGATCTGCTGTAGAAATCAGATTGCTATCTGACTGATATAGTCAGGACGGCAGTGCCGCCCTATGGGGCCGGTAGTGCCGCCCTCCTCTGTATCAACCAGAATCTTGTGTGCTTGAACTGATAAAACCTGTCATATGCATTATGATTATTCTTGTGACACTTTGTGCAGCACCCCACAGCAGGCATGGATGTAGAGGGAGGTTCCCATCACACCTAAAATGTGAATCATGGCATTTTATGCCAAATTGAGAATTCAAATATTTATTCACATATTTAGGGGGAGGCTCCTACACCCATGGCTCGAAAATCTCATTTTAGACTTCATATCATTTGTAAGCTCTAATTGGGTTATCATCAATTACCAAAAAGGGGGAGATTGTAAGTGCAATCAAGCCCTATTGTGGGTTTTGGTATTGATAATCACCAAATTAGAGAACTAATAAGATTTATCGAGATGACAAGCAGGGAATCAAAGAATGAGGATGATGTACAGGTTACAGGTGTCCTAATTACAAAAGGTGGCTGGACCTAGCTCTAAGGAGGTTTAAATTCATTTATGTTTTGAAATTGAGTTTAAGGAAAGCCGTACTATTAAGAGGGATTTTAGGACAGTTGGTCAACTGTTGAACCAGATGCTCAAATTTACAGATCTACATCCTCCCACCTAGTCAAAACAGCTAGCCAAATTTCATATCATATTACCTATTTTGGCTAGGGCGGCAGTGCCGCCCTGTTAAGAGCGGCAGTGCCGCCCTTAACTGACCGTTGGGCTCGGGGGGTATTTATACCCTTCAGGCCCGGCCCACAACGGTCATCTTCTCCACTGACTCACTCTGCTCGAAAACAGACAGAACCAAAGCTCACCCCTCTCCTCCATTGTTGCTCCTCCATCCCTTAAGCTAATCCTTGATTCCAACCATAAAAACTTGAGAGAAAAGGCAGCAAAACTCGATTGGAGACGAGATCCACTGATTCCCAAAGTCTAAGAGCATTTGGTTCATGTTTGGCCGGCGGTTCTAGGATTTATTACTCTTGGAGCTTGCTCCTAGCCGGCTAGGCGTCACCCTTGTGCTTGCCAACTCGTGTGGCAGCCTTGGGAGGTTTGTAACCTCATTCAAAAGCTAAGAAATCACCCCTCACTTTAAGAGTTCACTCTCTTGATTTGAGAACGAGGGTAAGGCAAGCCTTAGTGGCAAGCTCAAGCCTTTTGTGGCTTTCTCAACAACGTGGACTTAGGCAAACCTTAGTGGTGAGCTGAACCACGGGATAAATCTTGTGTCTTGCGTGCTTCATCTTTATTATACTTGTTGTTTACTGTATTGCTAGCTATTGTTAGGGTTTAGTTGCTCGATTCACTGTTGTGTGAAGATTCTGTGGTATGCAGTCTTTGAACTGGATCTTGGCTTTATATTGCAGGATTAAGCAGCTAGTTTGGTCAGGTTCATATCTGTTAAATCTCAACTGTGTTAGATTATTTTTCGTAGAGCGACAGTGCCGCCCTGTAAGGCCGGCAGTGCCGCCCTCTGTTCTAATAGAGTTTTGAGTTGAATTTTTATAGTCCTATTCACCCCTCTCTAGGCCTCCTTTATTTTCCTGTCGATCCTACAAGGTAAGGGTAAACCCTAACCCTAACCCTAACCCTAACCCAAACCCAAACCCTAATCCCCAACCTAACCCTGCTTTTATCTGTTGATTGTGGTAGTCGTCGAGGAACCGGAGACGGCAGAGATGGCCCCAGGCACCGGGCGACACGATGACGGGGAGTTTGACTACTCCCAGAACGACGAGTTGCGTATGTGCGGGATGGCCGGAGATGATGAGGACGATGATGTCCACGAGGACGCTGCCATGCTCTTCGATCGTTCTGCTACTGATCCCCTTCTCGTCGACGACTTCGACCCCCCAGTCGACATGGCTGATGCCGACGGTGGCCAAAGCGAGGTTAGCCCTATCGGTTCTAATCGACCTTCCACATCTGCTGTCTGGGAGGACTTTGAGAAGCACTACAAAACTGAGAAAGGTAGAAAGATCAGGTTTGCTACCACTTGCCTTCATTGCCATAAGCGCTACTCTGCTTATTCTGCTCATGGCACTGGGCATCTTACTCGATATCTTGCTAAGTGTCCTAAGAAACTTGAGAAGACCCGAGGCATGACTCAGACTCATATTGCTTTTAATTCTGATGGTTCTGTTCGTCGTTGGGAGTACAGTGCTGAGGTAGCTCGTGTTGAACTTGTTCGTATGCTTGCTAGATTGGACCTACCTCTTATGATTGGTGAAACTGAGGCATTTAAAGATTATATTAAAACTGCTCATAACTCTAATTTTTCACCTGTCTCTAAGCAAACCACTGGTAAAGATCTGTTTAAACTACAATAAGAAACGTGATAAACTGATGGTCTATTTAAAGGATAATGTTGTTTCATCTGTTGCTATTACCTCTGATATATGGTCTGGAAAGGCTAAAGAAGATTATTTATCTGTTGTGGCTCATTTCATTAATGCTGATTGACAATTAGAGAAAAGGGTACTTGGTTTAAGGTTGATTGATGTGTCCCATAATGCTGAGAACATTGCTGAGCGTGTTGCATCTGTCCTTGCTGAGTATGGTATACTTAACAAGGTTTTTTCTATAACTTTGGATAATGCATCTGCAAATAAAAATGCTATGGATAAACTGAAACCTATACTTAAAGAATATTTGGGTTCTGATCTGTTTTTGCATCAACGATGTACTTATCATATTATTAACCTGATTGTGAAAGAAGCACTAGCTACTGTGAATCCTCTCATTGAGGATTTTAGAACAGCAATCTCTTTTATGAACTCCTCTAATCAAAGAATTGCTGCATATAAGAGTTATTACATTGCTAGTGGTGTTAGACCTAGGAAGTTTAGATTAGACATGGATGTTAGATGGAACTCTACCTACCTAATGTTTAAGCACTTGTTGCCTCACAAGAGTACTTTTAGTACTTTCATTGAGGCTAATTACCCTAGAGGTTCAGGTAGTGGTTTCCTTTTGACTAATGATCACTGGGCTATGGCAAATAAAATCTTGAAATTTTTTGAACTGTTCTATGACTCAACTGTTGATTTGTCTGGTGTTTACTATCCTACTTCTCCACTTATGATGCATCATCTTGTTAAGATTGCTATACACCTACATAGGTATCAACGTGATGAACATCTAAGATCTGTTATCCAACTATGATTGACAAATACAATAAGTACTGGAAGAACATACCTGATCTTTATTCTATTGCATTCATATTGGATCCAAGAGCTAAAATTAAGGGATTTACCAAAGTACTTAGGAAGTTACATTCTCTTTTTAATATTGACTACACTAATAAGTTGTTGGACACCAGAGCTCTTCTGTTTAAAATGTATAACAGGTATGATGTAATGTATGGCTCTAATAGGCTGAAAAGGGTTGTTCCTCCATCCCTGTCTGGTAAAAAAAGAATAGCTTGGGCTAAAATTTATGATGATGAGAAGTTGGCTGTTGGAGCTGGCTGTTCTTCCCTCCCTTCTAGTCTTGATCATTCTAGGAGTGTTTCTGCCACTTCCTTGCTGCAGGCAGCAACTGCTAGTTCTAACTCTAGTGAACTTGCATCCTACCTGGACTGTGACACAATAAGTCAGTTGGATGATGAGTTTGACATCATGCAGTGGTGGCATGAGCACAAGCTTACTTATTCAGTACTTTCTGTTCTTGCTAAAGACATTTTGATAGTGCCTATGTCAACTATTTCTTCAGAGTCTACTTTTAGCTTAACTGGCAGAATCATCGAGGAACGGCGGTGGAGGCTGAATCCTGAAACTGTAGATGCGCTTACCTGTATCAAGGATTGGGAGAAGGCTGAACCCTGAAACTGTAGAGGCGCTTACCGGCAGCACATGGTGGAGGACAAGGAGCTGGAAGAGGCCTTTGCTAGTCTTTATCTTGATGTCGACTAGTTCACTTCCCATTTATGTAATGGTTCTGTAATAACTGAGACTTGGACTTATGGTGATGGATGTAATGAACAATTAATCTAGGAGCTGGCTGTACTCTTTTCCTGTTTAGGATTTCTCACAAGAGTGAGTTTTACCTAAACAGGTTTTTAACGAGGCAACCATTGCACAGCTCCTACTTAAATTAGTTTTAGTTTCAAAAACTTGTGTTCTTTACTGTGCTGTGTTCTGATCTGTTTTTGATCTTTTGTGAACTTAATCATTTTATATCTCTTTGAATTGTTGTGCTGAGTTCATTGAGGGGTTTTGCCAGTTTAGTGCCTGGGCCGGCACGGACACGCTGAGCCTGGAGTCGGCATGGCACGACACGGCATGCTCCAGGAATGATAGTGCCGTGCTTGGGCCTGGAGTCGGGCACGGTGGCACGACACGGCACGGCACGGTTCATCAGCCGTGCCTAGCGTGTCGTGCCCAGGCGTGCCGTGCCGGGGCGGGCTAGTGCCGTGTAGTGCCGTGCCGGCACGTTTGGAAAACTATAGTATGTGCCAATCAATCACTCATCCAAGCACCTATATATAGCAAAGTATGGCATATCATATAGCTGTCATGGCTGAGTAGAAAAAAGAAAATGACTAGTAATATGCTTACGATGAACGTGATAACTTTGGAGTAGACAACTCAAGAAGCAAAAAAGCAACAGAAAATTTTCATCCCTGCATCACATGAAACAGAAAAACAAAGGACAAAAAGGTTCATTAACGTTCTATACACCGTTGAACAGTAATGCCAACAAAACCCTGAACTGATGCACTGTTGAACATTCTATACAAAAGGTAATTACAGAAACAAGAATTTCATCCCTGAGACTAACACAGGGCTATTACAAATATATGCATATGAATTTGTAACCTACTGAAGGTGCATACTTGTGCAAATTATTGGAGTTATCACTGATACCAACCACTGGTAATAATGCTCAGCTAACAAATCAGTGTAAACATACACAACTCTGAATTAACCGATTGCGAACACAAGGTTGATATGTGCCCTTGTGTGTCGAGTTTGTGATGAGTGATTATCAGCGATGACCGGCTTTGGTTGAGGGCCTCCACCTCACCTCCGTGGCCCGCTACCACCTTGCGCACCTCCTCGTCCTCAACTGGTCGCGACGCAGACACAACTCCAGAGACCAGTTCGGAGGCACAGGCGCCCACGGGCGAGGTCGAGGTGGCCCCGGCTAGGCGAGTCCACCCCGACGAGCGCTCTTCCTCCTAGGCCCCGCCCACATCCTACGCCGCCCCCTCAGCCTCTGCCGGGGCACGCCAGCATCAAGGAGGACCCAGCTGCCACTGAGGTAGAGGCGGAGCAGCTGGTGCCGAATCGGAGTGGGACACTGCCGTGGAGGCAAATGTAGATCAGGGCAGGCGCAGAGGTGGAGACGGCCATCGTCGACCGGATATGCACGGAGTCTATACTTCCCGAGCGGTCCACGTCGATTCCTTTACAGGGGCAATTTAGTCCTTTCGCTTTAGCGTTGGTATGGGAGAGAGTCTAAAATGACTGTTTTTTTAGGGACAGAGGGAGTATATAAGACGTTTTTTATTAAAAAAAAGAACAAGCACTCTATAACTTACATAAGAAAATTGAGAGAAATAACAATACAGTTTCTAAAGCAACATGAAAACAAAGCTGATCGACCTTCTAATAAAAAAAAAAGAGTATATGACGGCATAAATGCAACAAACATGTATATAACCTACATATATGGTCCATTGTATATTTTATTTGGAACATGTTTATTGAACAAAAAAATTCAATCTATTAACTACGTGTTAGTAAAAGTTTAAAAGATTGTGAAAATCACTGTATTGTTTGTGTTTCATATTCAGATCTCAAAATCCAAATATTTTAGGAAGTGGCATTTATTATTGAAATATATGCATGGTTCCATTACAACGCACAGGCATAGGTTGTACTCACTTTGTTTCAAATTCTAAGATATTTTAGCTTTTCTAGATACCATTACTTCTATTATGCTAGAAAAGTCAAAGTTTATAATTCATAAAGGAGGAAGTAGTAAATAATTATATAATAAAATTATGATGAGCGGTGATACAAACAGGTCCGGTGTGGTATATTCTGGATCACAAATCGGAAAAAGGAAAATATCCGGATGGAAAAAGAATACGAATTGGAAAAGAAAAAGAAAAAAAATGGAGCTCAGGAACGGGCGCTCCGAGTGAAAAATATCCTCCTTGTCCTTGTCTACCTCTACCACTTCATTAAGCTGATTCTGATTAACTTCATTTGCAACAGTTTCTATCGGTGTCCCCTTCTAGAAATCGAAAGGTTCAAACACATTATCAACTAATGGTTCTGGTTCTGTGGTTCACAGTAAGGAGAACAGGAGAAGACCGAAACCTCAGGACCAAAACAAAACTTACATTGGAGGATGCTCAGTCTGCGCCGCCGTTGTCTTGGTTAGAAAACTTTTGATGAGGGTGGCTGTAAGTAACGCCCCAGCCCGAGAAGACGCCTAAGATCTACTCTACATGTTGAATGGACCACACCTTCTAATTAACTCTCTGCGCTTTAGTTCTCGCTCGCGCAAAAAGGTTCAAACCGAGTTAATTTCCTCCCAGGCTCAGGCTTTTAAGTTGGTTCAATTTCCCCTAAGCTTCCGGTACGGGACTAAAGTCCCGTAGCTACAACACCTTCCATGGCTACAGTACTCGGCCATTTGGCCTGGCCCATCAGACCAGCCCAACTTAGCCCATTTAGCAGGGTCTCACAGTGGCCGATCGTCGCTTCCCTACAAGCGCCACTTGCCGTCCCCGCCTCCCAGCTCGCGAACACCGAAGCGAGGGCCACTGCCTGGTCGTGCCGTGCTGCTCGTCACCTCCTTGCGCTCTTGCTCGGGCCACCATGCCGCCCGTCGGGCCGCTTGCCGTGCACTGTCTAGTCGCGTGCCGTCGTGCCCGTGCCACCACGGAGATGTGGGTTAGGGTTAGGTGTGAGGAGTGGGAGTCACCGAGTCAGGGAGTGCCCAGGCTATCAGGGTGGGGTTGGGGACTCAGGGGGACTGGGCTCTGCAGCGTTGGTCCGTGGTGGGCTAGCAGGCTGGGGATGCTTCCCCCTCTTTATGCGGATGCCCTGAAGGCTTCGATTGCTAAAATTCTTCGGTTCGGTTTGAGTAGGAAACCAAAACTAAAGTCGAGCACCGAACTTCTGAAATGTAAGAATTGAAAACTGAATAAACCGAATTTTCAGTTCGGTTCAGCTGGGTTTGCGGTTTAGGGTGGAAAAGTGCCTAGTCCTAGCTAGAAACAAGAATGTATTAGTTATTCATATTCTTAGTTTTACACCTCTTAACATAACTTTCTAAAGGGCTCTAGTCAGGTATATATTACATAAATGGAATGAGATTGTCACAATGGTTACATTTGTGCATTTGGGCAATCAACATGATTCATCATATGGCGTCTTACTAAACAAGGATCACTTATGGTACAGACAATGTATAGATAGATAGTAAACCTAATTGTATCGCCTCTAAATAAGCTTTATGGAAGTTAAAATTACATCTTAAAAGTTGAAATTAAGGTCTTTATTTGGTCCTTTTTAAAAGTGATTTTAACCAGAGGCAATCTCCTTAAACGAAACTGAGATGGCACTCTAATTGTTGCTTTTCATCAATAAAGAAACCATCCATAGCCTAATTTCTTAAAGTCATGCACGCTTAAAGAACAGTTCAAGTCGCCTTTTTCACAAATGTGTGCTACCATGCACGTCTTTCATTAAGAGAATAGAATTGAAACACTACATACATGGCCGGCGCATAGTCATGGAACATGAGGACCTGAGGACCGCAAAGAATCAATTGTTCATTATACTTTGTGGTTCATTTGGTCTAAAAGAAACTTTGTCCGAGAGGAGGGACGCAGGCGTCCAGCAGAGATTGTGGCGAGAGCTATCAAAATCTATGTTGGGGAGATGGGTGATCCTCCTCAAACGCAGCAAAGAGCGAAGGTGCAAAGGGTACAGCGCTGGACCAGGCCGCCCGAGGGACATCTGAAACTGAATTGCGATGCTTCTTTCATCCCAGAAAGAAAGTGCGGTGGATGGGGCTTTTTGACCAGGGACAGTGATGGAGATGTTGTGCTAAGTGGATGGGGGCGTGTAAATCATTTGCTGAATGCATTCCAGGCTGAAGCGATTGCATGTCTGTAGGGTGTCCAAACCCTGGTGGCTGGTGGCATTGTCGAAGAACTGAAGCTCATAGCATCTACTGTTTTGTTAGTTTTGAGTGCGTTCATGTTCTGAGAAATTGTAACAATGCAGCTCATGTCCTTGCTGCTGTAGGTGTGGGTAGCACCGAAGGGGAGGAGCACTTGTCGTGCAACATCCGGGATTGTGTCAATGTAATTATTGCTGACGATTTGTCAGCACGAGTGCAATGAGAATTACCCAAGTTCAAAAAAGAAAAGAATCAATTGTAGATATGCATAGATTTACAGAGTATATATTAATTAAAAAAACTTTGAGCTTTCACCCTGTTCGTTGATGCTGAAATTTAGCTTATGCTGAAATGTTGTGAGAGGAAAACACTGTTTCATGACAAAAGTAGTTTTGAATAAGCTCAAGCGAAGAGGGCGTTTATTGATTACGAAAACACACATATACTCTTACAACAATAAAGTTTTATATCTTTCATGGACAGTAGGCCACACATAGTACTACTCCATAGCATAGAGGTTATAAATGTTTCAAATACATTTTTTAGATAATGGAAAAAATCCGGCTTCAGCTTTCTTTCAGAAAGAACGAAGCATGAGTCCATGCTTAAAACAAGTATACTACTCAGCATAGAGGTAATATTCCAATACATACATACTCAGAGGGCGATTGAAAACTTG